ACAACCCCTATACTAGTAAATAAGTTTTCCCAATAGAAATTGCTTCAATTTTCGCAAATTATCTACGATTAAGTGAATAAAAGTGAGAATTCTCTCTTGTTCGACTTTTGCTCTAGACGCTAGTAGCGAATGAAGAAATCTCTCAAAGGTATACATAACAGAATGGAACATGTAGCGAATAATACCTGAATTTTCCCAGAATTCACCCAATATGTTATAAAAACACTTTAACCCAAGGCTAGAATGTTAGGCGAGACTATAATTTCTGGACGAGCCGGTCAGAGGCGTTTTAGAGATTTCCAGGTTATGGCGCCAATTTCAGTGCTTAATGCTAACGTACGTTCGGTTCACAGGGAATTTTGTAAAAAACGTGATAGTTGAGCGACTATAATAAATAAAACGGTGTGACTATAATTTATAGACGAATCAATCAAGTATAAGATAATATATTTCGGATTTTAACGCGAAAGCCTTTCATCCATTTGACTAAATAAATTTCTGGCATTATAGTTGACGTCAGTTCGTGTTGAGAACCCCATATATAATTCCTAACTAAGGCAAATTACGACAATTATTGCGAGCTGGATAATAAAAGCACCAGTAACACTGGCTGCAGCCAGGTACTACAATATATGCGGATGATTTTAAAGCGTACAGACTCCTAAATAGGCTTGGTTGTATGCATCGTGTCGTTATCCACAAGTAGCATTTTGTGCACTCAACAACCGGAGTGCACATAAACAATATTGAAGCTATGTGGTTGAGGCTGAAAGAGTTTTTGAGACTTTATCATAGCTCCAAAGGTCAACTATTCTGTAGCCGTGTGGATGGTTTCCTCTACTGCATCCATTACGATTTTAGGACCTCTGAACCTCTTTCTAACTTCGACAAGTTTTTGAACCATGTATAAGAAGTGTATCCACTTTATTTCCTTGGTTTTGTATAACATTTTTTCCTCTATACCGTCTGTTTGCTGTTTGGCTAGTATTTCTCAAGGTCATTTAAGATTCGTTCAAAGGTAGTCCATAAATTAGAGTCTCGCCGAATATTATACTCATCAATAGTCAGAGAAAGATTGCGTAATTATCAATTACTACCTTCAAGAAAATGGATGTCCATAACCGTTTATAATGAAGTATAATACTGAACCAACTAGAAAACAAATATATTTCTATCTAGTTGACGTTCAAAGGTGATTGAATTATCGATAAAGTCAATCAAAGATCAAAAGTAACTTCAAAGAAAATAAAAATTCCTGCTACGAAAATGTTTCCTCTGTATTCAACATGATGTTCAATAATACAAATAAAAATAAACATTTACAAATATTACCTTCAATTGCTTATATCAGTTCACATATACTTACAGTATCATATATATATTGGAATGACAAAAAGACTAACAGCTATGTTTTTTGTTGAGTATATTCCAAAGGACTTAAACCTCTACAGGTTGATAACACCACACTTACTTGAGATGGGACATATAATGAATGCAATGAATCCATTTAAATTAATACAGTATCACATTATCTAATCAACATTGTATTCATTAACATGAAAATTATTATTATTCTATCAACATACTGGAAGAGGAATCTGGCACACAGACAACATGTGATACATAATAAAGGATAATTAAGTAGTACACATGGTACAGTGCATGATATTTAGCAATTTTAACGGTATATAACATTAAACATTACAAATGTTTCAAACGGTTTGCTCTAATTAATTGACAATATTGTGAAATTTAATTTTCTTTTTAAAGTAGTTCATTGATAATAGGAAGAAAAGTGGAATTGGAGTAAAGTACAAGACTGGTTTTAGTTAAGCGATTAAACATTTTGTTATGGTATATTTACTTCTTAGGGATTTATTAACGTGTTTATTCGGGATGCAGGGCATTCTAAAAAAAATCTGCATTGAATTGATATAAGAACAAAGTATTATACTTTTCTCTTCCATACTTACAAGGTTCAATTGATTTTTTATTAGTTGTCTAAATCTTCCTATTGATGTCTAGGACTGTAATTGATCAGTCTCATATCGGCATATGTACATCATATGAGAATTGACTCGATATTACATGGATCCTATGGCTTGTCACAATCCATCTATGCTTATATTGGTTGTTTGAAGCGAACGGTACTGGGTTCGAGTGCCGGAGTGAACATCAACTCTGGGATGCAGGTGCATCCAGCCAACGAGTCCCAAATACGACAAAACGCATGTTGTAGATTCCATTGCTAGATATCATACATCTCTGCTTATAATTACAAGGTTTAAGTTATATTTTCTGCTCGATTAATACTTATGTTTTAAAATTAAAATGTACCCAAGTTAGAGACTCGAAATTATCATGCGATCATCAGTGATTAGTCTCAACATAAATTTCTGTCAAATTTTCAATGGTGTAATATAACCAATGAAGCCAACTATGATTACGATGAATACATTAATTGAAGATCGTGTGATATTACAAATAACCTAAATTTGGAAATAGGACCAAATGAATCCAAACTCTGTTGGTTAAATGTACCATACATACTATGAAACCGGATCATTTGTGTTGCTGGTTTAATTATCTTTAAAATATTTATACAATCAAGCCATTCAGCCCTAGAAATAAATTATCATCAAGCATTAATTTACAGGTGTTAAATGATACTTATGCCTATGCTCCTCCACGAGGGGTAACAGGCGTCAGTAATGTGAATTAATTTACAGCTTACTACGATTTACAAGATATTTGTTAATTTGAAATATTTGAAATATGTTATAAGGAAAAAGTTTCGAAATATTTCACCCTGAAATTTGAACACAAGTTAATTACCAAGATAACCATTCGAATGAACGAACTTGTTATTAATTCTGTTTTATTCCAGGAGATCACAGATACCTTTAATGAAGACTAGCGATTTCAGATAAAAATGATTAAGTAGACGCAGGCCTTTCAAAAAGGGCAGTGATTTTGTAATTGTGATTATTCTTGCTTTTGTATAATTGTTACATCAAAAGCATTTTTGGTTTACTTTATATTAAGGTACTTTAGTTAAGGTTTGAAATCTTGATAAAGTTTGTCTTGTGGTACCTTTATACTCATTGACTGACACTTGTGTTCATATTGCGATCATATTGTGTTTTAAACCTTAATCTGACTACAATGGTTGGTAGTACTGATAAATGTGTACATCCAAACTGCTTGTTCCCTGTTGAGGAAGGAATGAAGTAAGATGAATGTAAAAAGTTGTACCATAAGATGTGTACACGTCTAAGTCCTACGGCATACATAAGATGCTCGAAGCCTAAGTCGCACTGACTTTGTATGTTTTGCTGCGCAAATAAGACGTTACTAATACAGGAGGATATGAGCCTATTGGCTTTGGCCTGTAAGAAGAACGATGGCGGTTGCGCTGATAACACTACCACCGACAGTAAAGAATGTGTCAGTGTAGTACTCGCTGCTACGAGATGCCTCAAACACCCGACTGTCACTGACGGAAAAATGAAGTCGCCGTTAACAATAACGAGAAGGGAAGTACCACCTGACACTGGCATTGGTAATCATTTGCTTCTGGTGGGAATTGAAGATCTGGATAAAACTGTTACCGTTCCAAATAGTCCCAGTGTGGCTGTCCTGAAGGATGAAAAATGGACTACAATACGGAGAAAAGGAAACAAAAAGAAAAAAGCTGTAAGCAGTACGTAGCTGGTTAGCAAGCCACTATACAATATGTGGGTTCGTGCTACCCAAAGTAAGAAACTATAAAGATTTAGGAGTCATATTAAGCAGTGATCTCAAAACCACTAGTCACTGCAAGGCTGCTGCTGCGAAAGGCCATGGGATATTATGGTATATTCGTAAGTGTTTCCAGTATTTAGATGACGAAATATTTGAATTAATATATTCAATTCATGTGCGATCACACTTAAAATATGGGATTCAAGCAGTGAGTCCTTGTTTCAAGTATGAAGCAGATATACTGGAAAGAGTTCAACGACGAGGTACTAAGATGATAAAAGGTCTATCTGGCCTATCTCATGAAGACATATTGAGACACCTTAACTTATTTCCGTTATCTTACCGTAGAATACGGGGTGATCTAATATTGGCTTATCGTATACTGAACGATGACCTTGGTATTAACATGTCTTATCTTTCATTTCCGTCTAGGACTGATCATTTGAGAAGGCATTCGAAGAAAGTTCAAAAACTGAGACCAAATCGCTTTCGTTTGGAGTTTGGTTTCTCGCACCGAGTAGTGAATTACTGGAATCCTCTACCAGAACTCGTAATATCAGCACCATCTGTTGATATATTTAAAACGAGACTGGACATCCACAGTATTACAAACTGCAAGGATTAATATTGGTCGACAGACCTCTTATCCTTATTATTGAAAACTGAATTGTGGATTGGAGAATACTGGTCGGTGGTTTATGCTTCATTGGGAATAACAAGCGTAATTAAGTAAGATTAAGTAACTGACTTGTACGCTTTCAAATCTCATCTAAATCTGATCAGATCATAAATATTTCCCTTTTGGATTCATCTAATTAATAAACAAGTAAGAGTATTCTTCTATCTAATGTAAATTATATAAAAAAAACCATTACTTACTACCTGAAAGATTAATATAAATATATAAATTTTATTAGATAATGAAAAATGTTAATCATTATATACATTCATTGTAAAACTCTAATATATATTCATAAATTGTATACTCATAACCATGTGATCCCATAGTTTCGTTCTAAACAAAATTTACTACTACTCATGTGTTCATTTATTTAATAATCATGATTATTTATATAAGGTCAATAGGCTTATTTAGAAGAAGAAGAAAAAAAACACCCAGTAAACTAACTATTGTATATATATATATAAGTAGATGGATACAAATTCTATTTAGAGAATCAGTTAGTTACTATTAGAATAATCATTACAAAGTTTATTCGTTTTTATCATATTTTGTGTATTGTTTATTATATATTATGACAACATTAAATAGAGCTATTGTAAAAACTAGTAATCTACCAGCAAATATGCAAGATGATGCAGTTAAACAATGTTTAAAAGCAATGTTAACATGTCAACATGATAAAGATATAGCTGCTTATTTACGAAATCAATTCAATCAAAAATATGGACGTACATGGCATTGTATTGTTGGAGGCAGCTTCGGAAGGTAAATTCTTTATATATATACATATATATATTTCATTTGATTGACTGTGGATTAGTTGAAGTTAGACATTAACACCATTGGATGTCGAACCAGTGGTCTAGTTGGTTGAGCGCCTGTCGCGAGACTGATAAGTCCTGGATTCGAATCGTGGATGTGCACTGTTGAGGAGTCCCACAATAGGACGAAACGGCCGTCTAGTGCTTCCAGGTTTTTCATGGTGGTCTAGCTTCAAGTGACTCATGATTTCAACTGTTGAAAATACTACAATCAATATTTTATGCTTGTTTAATTATAATTTATTTGTTAAAGTATATTATATTAGGCAATAGACTTGGGTCCTACATTGTAGTTGACTGATTGACTGAATGACTGAGGTCAACTACTTCACTATGTTTAGATTTGATATTGGTCAATTATTAAACAAATTACAGGAAATAACATATTTTAACTGTGAAAATGAATCTTCAGTTAAAACTATATTTACTTAAAGTATCATTAACAAGGTCTGATTTGATAGTACAACGGAACAATTATTTAAACGTGGATTAATTTTGATTTTGTTATTTATTCACGGAAGAAGTGGCTTACACTGAGTCACGAAACGTCGGAAAATCTAATTTTTCTACTTATTGTAATATTACTTAAACAACATGAAATAATTTAGTATGTGATAAACTTATTTTTATACCTATACAAACTACAATCTTACATGTATTTTATAGATTATCTATTTGCTATTTCAAAAAACAAAACGTGGTTATTCATTTTTATATTGGTTACTTGGATCTTTCCAGTGATACAGGTAAATCTAGCTGATGAGTCTCATATAGGATTCTACTACAACAACTACTACTACTGCTCTAGTGAACATAAAACCAGTTCGGGCAATTCAATGTACTTAACACAAAATTACAGGACTTGTTAATAAAATCTAACAATCATAAAGTAAATGCTTAATTTGCAAAATGTTCACCAATTGTCTCAAAATGACTCAGACTTCTTGCATGTTCATACAAATTGCATTCTGTTTCTATACTTTACTGTTCGATCTTCTTGTCTCTCTGTTGCCAGATATTCTGTTCACGATTAATGTCATATACTACTTATGTCTATATAAGTAGCACACATCACACTACTACTAGCCACTATCATCTCAACTTATAAAACATTGAGTATATTTATAAATTATTAAAAATTTACATCACAATTATATTGTTTGTTTCTAACTTTTAGTAACGTTAGTCATGTGGAAACTGGATTGATTTATTTCTTATTGGGACGAAAATCTATTCTTCTATTCAGATCAGAAAACATTCATTGAAGATGTTAATCTATGTTGAATATTGTATTGAGTACATAAAGTTATTAATGTACTTTAATTGGATTTTTTATTTAGCAAAAGTTATTTAATCACCAACAAATACAATTTATATGAGAATTTATCTTCTTCCATATCATTTTCAAATTAAACGAATGTCATTCAATTGGTTTATGTTAAAATATAAAAGTTATTTATGGAATATGTTCATATTATGAAGGTAGGTGACTTAAATGAATAAGTTTGTGCAGTGTGCTCCAAATCGAAATTATTAAGTTCCCTCCTTTCAGAAATCTTTCACAATGACAGGTCACTACTTGATTAACTAAGAAAATATTTATGAGATAAACTATTGATGACAATGTACAAGTGTATGAAGTGAAATAAACTCATACTTAATTAAGATATTTTTTTTAATAAACCGTTTAAACACTAAAACAATTGAACCCTAATCATCGTCAATTCTGGCAACGTTAATCCTGTTTAATTACTTTTAAAAATTGTGTACATGTACCTAAGAGTACAAGATGCCAAACAACATTTTGAATAAAAGAAAAGTCAATGTTACTTTTCTTTTATTTAGTAGTCGAATATCAAAATCACAAAGGAAATCAGTTGGTAGTTTTTACACAGTTAAATTCATGAATCGATCTAAGTTCGATCACTCTTAAAAACCTGAAAGCACAACACAGTCACTTCGTGCCAGTATGCGCATTCACGATCGTACATATGTGACTTGAACCCACTGCTGAGGAGTCCCACAATAGGACGAAACGGCCGTCCAGCGCTTCCAGGTTTTCAACGTTGGTCTAACATCAATCGGTTCATGATCTCAATCAAAAACCTATCAGTTTAACTATTTAAATAAATCAGATATTATTTCGCATGTAATCAGTATACCTTCATTTAAAATCTAATTTGGATCTTATTTTAGCTTCAAACTATAGAATAGTAACTATTACGCTTAAACTAAATGGAATGAAAAGTATTCGAATTTCACAGAATAGAATATGAGAACATGATCTATATTTTACTTATCTGTGAAACATACAAGAGAATAGAGAAGGAACTCACCTCATACAAGCGATAAAAGTTAATTTTCAATTCATGCACACAAATTGTTTGGTAATATTTGTGAATGTTACAAGACAATTCATGTATTTAAATATTAAGGTTGAAGATATATCTTGGCAATTTTTGAGAATAAACCAAATATTGAACTTAACACTTATACTGTACATTGAATCAGCTAAATTTCAATCATGAATTTGTAATTTAGTCAGAATGGATTTTATCTAAATTCATTTATTTGAATGTTAACTTTATAAATATTTTGTCACGTACACTTTGATATAGGGATGTGTCAGTGAAGTAAATGAAATTTTCTCAACTTACTTTCTCACGCCTGTCACTCCTCGTGGATCAGCATAAGCTGCCCACTAGCACTCTCCATCCAACCTTGTTTTGGGCATTCCTTTCCAGCTCTTTCCAGCTGTTATTCATCCTTTTCATATCTGCTTCTATTTCCCGACGTCATGTGTTCTTTGGCCTTCGTCTTTTCCGCTTCCCTTCAGGATTCCAATTTAGGCCTTGCCTCGTGATGCACTTCAGTGATTTGCGTAATGTATGTCCTATCTTTTCTTAATTTCCTCTTTCGCTGGAAGCTGGTTTGTTCTCTCCCAGAGAAGGCTGCTGCTGATGGTATTCGGCCAATGGGCGTTGATTATCTTAAGTAGACAATTGTGAATTGTATTATAGTGTGCCATTTGTAATGGGAAAAAAGTGGAATAAATTTTAGTTAGGTCATGTGACATATATTTGTGTATTTCTGAATTATGTTCGATAGTTAATTAAAGATATTTTATTGTAAATGGCCATGAAAGCAGAGATACTCAAGTATGAGAACCATTATAAATCAGTTAACAACTAAGCATAGCAATAACATGCATAATTTAATTACTGATTCATTCTTTACGTTGTACATTAGTATTTTTTTTAATCATCGTTATTTGTGTATGTGTTACGTATGCGAAACTTCTTATTTCGATAATGAAATTACTTAAATTTCATATCTATGTCATCAGAGACTTTAACTGAATATTTTCATCAATCAGTATAAATACCCTGGGTGAGAATACTGAAATATCCGTTCACATTCCCTGTTCATCTTCTCACTCCAAGTTTCAGAAAGACATTGTTCGAAATATTATCTAAAAAGACATAGTACCTCCAAGAAAGTCGGACATTCGCTGTTGGAGGAACGTTACAAATGATCATGATAAAACCTGAATGGATATTCTGAAACAGGCCAAAGTTGGTTCAGACGATATTTATACCACTGGAAATCTGTAGTCACGCATAACATGGATTTGAAATCGAGCATTCTTAAACACATTGAGAATAATAACATAGCCTACATGAAATAAACAATCCATCAGATGGAAAAGTAGATGAAAAATAACCAGGTGGCCACTAATGACATTCACTCTGGTTGTCTAGCTGTTCACCACAGGATAATTCGCGGAAGAATGTTTTATGGTTGGAAGATCAGGTGTTCATCAAATTCGTGTAACAAACAACAGAAATTTCGTCTTCAAATTAGCTGTGATTTGCAGTCGAAGGTAGCAACAAATATCAAAAATGCCATTCAATCTAGGTTGTAGCACATGAAGAGTATAGAGATAGAAAATTAAAGTTTAATAACTAGAAAAAGTTTTCTGAGCTCACTGAATTGTCAAGTCCAGCTAGATGAAACAAGAAATTATCCTCCTCTGTTTATTGCTTGTCAGGTAAGAAAACTGTATATCAATATAATTGGACATCAAGTATATACGAACAATACTTGTTAAATCATCGACCGGAACCCACCAACTGCTAAGTTAGTTTTTCTTGTAAGTGTTTTGCAACTAGCCGAATTCATCGGCATCCAACTCAACAAACTTGACCCTTATATTCATAAGAAAGTAACAAGTATTTTGACAAAATATACTTGTCTAACCAGTAAACAACTGATGGTTCTTTATGTCAATTAAAAGGGTTAGTGTTGCAGAATGTTATTGCCTTATCTTGGAATCCTCAAATTCAACGGAAAAGGGAAAGACCAGAATATAAATTGCGTCGGCAATTAGAGGAAGATGTCGAAAGAATGAGCGGCACTTGGGAATAAGTGGAAAGAAGAGTCCAGGACAGAGTATGTTGGAGATTCTTGGTCAATGCCATATGCTCCATCAGATTGATCAGGTGTACATGAGTGAGTAAGTCCGCTTACAAGTGCTATGGAAATTTTATTCTCAAATTACAATTTTCTCATACGTTGAACTAATTGGATTATAGCTATTCAAAATAATAATTTAATAGATCAGTTGCGCACCATTTATCAGGGAGATTATTACTCACTATTTCAACAGAACAAATGTTGAGGAAGCGATCACTTCGGATCTATTTTATGGATCACTGATGCATCCATTGGAATTGTATTATTATGAAAACTTAGTTTAGTATACTTCCATATTCCTCATATTGTAAGCTTTCGTTTAACTGTTTTATGATCACAGAACATTATACAATTGCCTAGCTATCGGTAAACAGTTATTCATCGTTTTCTGTGTTCGCTGATACTTTTGCTTAATCTATGAATAAATTATGGTTTCCCATTCACGTCGTGTTGTGATACAATAATATTTGCATATGAACTCACGCTTTCCTGAAGATAATGAAAGAAGCTCTTCTGTCACAATATTCTCTGATTAAAGTGAGAGTGAAAAGAGGAAGACTTGAGATTGGCAGACCGATAGACATCAGGTCATTTCATTAATGCTTAGGGTCAATCCAGTTCACATAACTAAGCAAAGAAATATTAGTTTTCAAGGTCCATTGACGACTCAAGATTTAGAGGAAGTCAAACAACAGAGGCATTTATTAATCAGTTCTCTTAAAGAAGTAAACAGTTTCACTCACAAACTAATAAGCAAAATGTTATTCAACTTCCAAATAAGCACGAAAATAATTCGCATTATTTATATATGAGGGAAGTGATCCACATTGAATTCATACTACTAAACACTGATCCGAGAAATTACTACATCCATATAAACATACTACTGAGTTCCGCATAAATTCATTCAAATAATAATAAACTGTATTATTCGCAAAGAAACTAGTTGAATAATGGATGTAATCAATGGAATTCTTGTACAGAAAATATGAGCTTTAAATTGCATAATGATCCAATTACCTATTGAATGAAAACAGTAGCCAGCCTCTACAAGTTAACAGAACAGATCACGGATCAACTGTATTTGACTAACATATTATATCTATGAGACAATCCAACATGAAATAAGCGTCTATATCCGAAATGTAGTTTGCACTGATTTAACTTAATAAGAACTACATACACTGTTTTGTAATTGTAGTATTCTTTTGTTTATAGAACTACTGAGAATTAATAATAATAATAAAAACAAAATGATCCTTTATCCAAATGATTTCATTTATTGAACATGAAAATAATTGGGTAAAAATTCTGGTTCATTGATTAGTGACATTGAAATATTAATCACATTTATAAAGGAGTATTGCCACATTTTTTACATAGAAATAAATGAAACAGTTTAATTCATGTGTTACATAACTGAAAATAAAGAAAAACAATAGACATCAGTATAGGGGTTGTGGAGATTATCAAATTTTTGATTGAGATCATGAACCGATTGATGTTAGACCAATACTGAAAACCTGGAAGCACTGGACAGCTGCTTCGTCCTATCGTGGGACTCTTCAGTAGTACGCATCCACGGTCCCGCTCGTGTGATTTGAACCCAGGTCCCTCAGTCTCACGTGCGAACGCTTAACCTATTGGATCACTGCACCGTCATCTAATGGTGTTAATGTCTAACCTCAAACAATCCACAAAATTGCGCGACCATCTTCCATTCTAATGAGGTAGATACCTATCTCTAAAAACAATAGATTACATGTTTTGAATTCTATTTGTATTAACT